TCTTTTTTTTCGCGCGAGCGGCCATTGTTAGCGTGGGGAAAAATAATATATTTCGCGACAATAATGGATACAAACAGAAACTCGGCCTACTAGTCCGAAAACGAAGACAATGTTTCGATCTTTTCCCTTGGGCTAAAGTTCTTGAATGAGGCAGAAAAAGAGAAAAACAATGGAAAAGGAGACTTGGCATCAGCGTCGTCACGATTCGCTTCAACTGATATTATTGTCCGTTTTCCGCGTCGGATTTGATGCACATTTCCACCGGCTATGTTCTAAAACAATTGGTTCATGCTTTCAGCTGTGCACTATCGAGTTATGGAGCATGTGGGAAGTTTAGAGAGCACTCAAGAAGCTAGAGTTGCCCTCGGCTTGAGAAATTGAGGAAGCTTCCTATTATGACGAGGAATTGACCAGGGTGAAGAAATGTGTTAAGACAGGGAACTGGGACTAGTGTATACTTCCCTCGTACGCACAGGTCAAGGACGAATTATGCATGTATAGTGAGCTGTTGCTTCAGGGAACAATGATTGTGGTGCCCAGGCTCCTGCGCGACACCCTGATGGTGTGGTTAGCACACGGAGGGCACCAGGGTATAGATAAAACAAAGTATCGTCTCCGCAGTGAAGTTTGGTTGCCGAGAATGGACAAAGACGTTGAGAAGTTTTGTAGAGTTTGTCATGGCTGCCAGGTCACCTCTGGATTTGAACCCACAGAGCCGACGTCCCGCGGTTTTCCTCCAAGAGCTCCTTGGCAGGACTTTGGAACAGACCTGCTAGGACCCCTACCCACAGGAGAGAGTATTTTGGCGGTGGTCGATTACTACAGTGGATTCCTTGAGGTTTCTATTATGAAGTCTACGATAAGTTGCAAGGTCATCGATGCACTTGCACCGCTGTTTGCAAGATTGGATTTTCCAATCTCGTTAAAGACAGATAATGGCCCCCAATTCGTGTCAGAAGAGTTTTAAGCCTTTTTACGTACAAATGGTATCGAACACCGGAAAACGAAACCGTTGCGGCCTCAAGCCAATGGAGCGGTGGAACGCCAAAATCGATCATTACTTAAATGCAAACATATTGCACATTTGGAAGGAAGGAACTGGAGAACTGAGTTACTAGTAAGGTTGACAGCGTACAGATCCACTCCGTAGACGAAGACTGAGATTACACCCTGTTGTATGATATTTGGCCGCGAAACAAGATCCAAACTGCCAGAGCTAAAGAGAGAGACAGTTGGTGTCCCAGGCGAGGAAGTGCGAGAGCGAGATTGGTCAAGTAAATTAAAGGATAAAGCTTACGCAGACCTCAAGGGGGGTGCCACGCCCAAGAGCATTCGTGTTGGAGACACGGTTCTTGTGAAAGCAGAGAAAACCAACGTGCTGACTACTAACTTTAATCCTGATCCCTTTAAGGTTGTTCACAAGACAAGGTCAGAGGTAACGCTTAGGAACGAGGCTGGCATTGAACTGAAAAGGAACACTGTGTTTGTAAAGAAGTACAACGAGCACCGAGATGTATCCAATGGAAACGACGACCAAGTGGTACAGGCAGGCTCTGCAGTACAGGTGGATGAGGCGGGGGCCAGCAAAATTCCAGAAACGACAGTCGTACCGATGCCGAAAGAAATTCCAGGAATGTCTAAGGTATCTAAAAATTGTCATGTACAACCTAGGCATTTCCTCAATAAGGAAAATACCGGAGTGGGGAGGCCTGTTCGGAGGTCGACCCGGACTGTAAGACCGCCTGGTCGTTATAAAGCCATATTAGGACTGAACTGGATGTCTAAAACTTCTTTTCCTTTAATCGAGACTAGCGTAATTTAAAGACTTCGATTTGTATGCCGAACATTCAGGAAAAGAGGGAATGTAGTGCATAGCGATGCCAACGTGCGAATACTACTGTAATGCAAGTGATGTAATATATATCTAACGGCTGTTTAATCTATTGTGTTAGTTCTTTTCGGTTAACGGACTTGAATAAACGGTTTTAAACTTAACCGCGGTGTACTACGCTCAGGAAAGTTAGATATATATTGATTTAATTTTGTCTGTGGGAACCCAAGCGAATTCTAGGCTGAAAAAGTTTTGACTGTGCAGGAAAAAATGAAGTCTGAAAGTCGCTCGAAGTCGCCGTCCCTCACTGAACCGTCACTGACTTCCGCGATCTCAAGCTTCTCAGTTATCCACTGGGATCCTGCCGATATTTCTTCGCTAAGTTTTAGGTTACCATCCGAGTCTTTTATCGACGGCAACCTTTAAAACAAGTCAAAAGCTTTCTAATTGAGAAACTAATTTCTCATTTCACCTTTTGCAGACTGACTAACCAGCGAATGCATCTACACAAATTTGTTCGTTGCGCGTAGAAGGCGACTTCAGGCGAGCCACTAGCTGGAGTTTGACTAATGATCGTGGGTCGTGGGTCGTAGGTGCAAGTCGTGGGTATGGGTGTGGGTAAAAGTCGTGGGTGCGATTAATACAAAATAATAACAATAATCATTTGAAATATTAGTTATAATAATACATAAATATTATACAACCCTTATCATTGTATCAGCACGGTTTAGTGAGCCTAATATTTCATTGATTTCATCCAACAGAATTAATTGAGTTCACCCAAAAGAAAAGTTAAACCAAAGACAAAGCCATTATTTGCAGGATGATGTAATCTCTTAAAATGAAGGTCATTCCAAAGAGTTTGAGGAGTTTTGTTCAGGTCAAACGCTTGATCAACACACAAAAAATAATCTTACATTGAAAAGAGAGAGGTGCTAATCTTAAAAGAGCAACGTTTTCAGAACATGAAAGAAGCTTCGATATAAAACGTGGATCAGAAACACGGCTTTTGGCCGTGTTTTTGAATTAAAATTAAATTGTGCTCTCAGTACGGGTTAAAAATAAATGAAGTTTCAAAAGTAAAAGTAACAGTATATCCCTCTGCTGGTTAGGGAAAATAAAGCTTGTATTGATCAATGACATTCAAACAAAGAACCGAATGGTTCATTAATTGTCATCTCTGATCGCGTACCTTCTACCCCGCAACTAAGAAAAAAAAATAAGTGCAACAGCGAACTGTTGCAAGATAAGCCGATATATAGATAGCAACGTTTAACGTTAGTTGCAGTTCTGGATATGTTGGCTTCAAGGTTTTTCCAAGGCTCGAAAACATAAAACCTCTGGTATCCAGTGTGCGGTATATAATCGACAACCGGAAATCGCAAGCCAATGTTAAATTGGTCACGACAACTGACATCGGTGACAAGAAACGAAGAACCAAGTACAATCTTAAAATTTTTCTTCGTCCATTTTACTAGCCAGGTCGTTTTCTAAATCATAAAATAAACTAGATATGAAGAATGATTGAAATAACTAAATTAATAAATAAAGAGGTTCTAATAGTTTCAATTTTTAGAACCAGTTTCGGCCAGTCGACAGTCTGACTAGCACCTTCCAGACCAAGTTAATTTGCCATCGCCCAGCTCTATAGCGATCACTTTGCTTAACGAGTGTAACTACAACCTATCCATTCTCAGTACGCCAAACTGATAAACAGAGATTTTAAGAATTGGTTTCTCCCATTTAAAATCATCGTAAGTATAAAACAATAAATAAAATAAAGTTATTAAAAATTCCTTACACTCATCTGAAACACCAAAATAATTTAATGATATCGTCTTAAAGTGAGGACACAATACCAAATGCTTTTGTTTCAAACCCCACATATCTTTGTAGAGTTCTGTACTCATTAATCCTTAAAAAAATGGTTACATCATATATCCATTGTTACTCATATGTACAATTGACGAGCCATTTGTACCCCTTAGTCATCTGACCTTGCCAGAACTGGAAAAAGTGCTCTTGATAAGAAATAAACAAAGGAAATCAGGAAAGCTCAATAAAAGTAAGATATCCAATTTTTCTGGCCACAAACAATAAAATGAAATGTCTTCTGATTATTTTCTGTTTAAAATAATTGACAAGATTTGTGATAAGCCGAATAGTATGATTTTCCCTCCTCGATAACGTCTCAAAATCTTGCACTTCAACGTAATTGGCCTTAAATAGGAAATCCAATTTATTTCATCGCGGTATTTCCACTACTAGCATCACACTAGTTGTTTTTCTTTTTGATTGGCAAGGATCAGAGGCATGGTTAAAAAAAAAGGGTCTATTCTCAAAGTAGAATTCGTAACGTCCGCTTTCAGACCACTTCTTCAATTTGATGTACTTCTTTGCTGGGAGTATTCGGTACCTTGATCAGCGTTTCATCAAAAGAAGCAGCTGCATGGAGGAGCTTGGTCTCACAGGTATCACTATTTAATAACAGTTCGCTTCTTTCTTTGGTCAGCCTCACGATTGAGTCGCACAAGCTTTCAATTGACGAATAATCACAGGTTGCAAAGTCGAACAAGTCCCTGATGTAGCCAAGGATAACACTCTGCGAAGAATCAAAATATTACTTTAAGAGTACAAAAAAGCCACCCACACGTACAGAAAAAAAAATTGTCTTGGGCAGTTATTCAAAGAAATACAGTTTCTACTCAACTCTTGGATAATATCAAATTAATGACATAACCTTGACTGTAAAATGATTGTAAATCCATTTACCTTGAAGTATTCACAGACTTTCTTCAGTTTGTCATCTGATCCTAAGAATCCCCAGGCAAGAACTGGAGAAACATACTGCGCCACTACGTAGAAGTGAGCCATGAATCCGTAAGGGTCCTGTGTTCACAAAAATGTCCAAAATCAGTTGATCAGCGACATAATTGATACACATAGGTCCCTGTTTAGTCCCTGCTTATATAAAATTGCAGTTTACAACAATGAAATCGACAGCAACAATAACAATAGCTGCAACTTCATTTGAGGTACAGGATTTTGACTCTTTCACTCCTCTCAGATCTCATTAGTAATTCTCCTTACTGTCTTATATACAATTCTTATGCTCTTAGTTTGGAGAATTTGGTATTGGATGAACTAATAACCACCTAATTGTTCTTTTTCTTTATTCTCATTATTTATCTGCTTAATATTGTAGTAATAATGTAAGAAGGCCCTCTGTTCACAAAAACGTCCAATATCACGTGATCAGCAGCACAATTGATACACAGAGGAAGAAGAAATTCATCATGGGTTAAAAAGGATCGGCTATAGATACTGTGTATTTTGGTTTACACATCAAAGAAAAAAAAAAGGATCAATATTTGGAAGTGGCAACAAACCTTAAGATAAGAAGTCTTAGCCTTTAAAACTCCCCAGATGGCTGTAGTAAGGGCCTGACAACATCAAGGTAACATCAACAATAAAGAATATATAATGTACAGTACTGTAATGAAAATAAATCATGTCCAGAACACAGCTCTCACTTCAGAATGTGGAGAAATGACAACAATAAAATGGTGAAAAGCGAACCAAATTTTGAAACTGTTGTTGAATGTGCCTTCAAATTATTTGCCAACACTTGGCAAGTCATAAGAAAATGATATTAGCAGTACTTGAACACAGAAGTGTGGCTCTTTGTCCACAGTTTCAATTGCTGGGCTATCCCATTAAGTGGTATGGTATCCACACTTCTGCAAGCACCTGCTATATTTTGGAAACAAATACTCAATACTCAATTCTTAGGGGAATGTAGCTTTTTCTTACTAATCCCCTCCCTCTCAAGGTTAAGTGACCTTCAGCAAATTATTGGTATTGCATAATGTAAATGGTAAACTTCCCAAAAAAATGCATGAATGTGGACAAGCTTGTGTTTTTATCATCACTCACAGTTTCCTTGATACGAGCTGACAGCCACCTGTTTTGAACAGCAGTGGCTACTGTGTAGGGAGGGGTGGCCAGGTCATCAAAGGCATCTAACAGCACAAAGTCCAGGAGGACATCATAGAATGAAACTTCAACCACCTTAAGAGACCACAAAACATAATTTTCAAGCCGAATCATCATTATTTGGTACACATTCTTGGTGGTAAATTGTTCAATGGGTACAACAGAGTATTAATAAATTTTGAAGAGCAACAAAAGAGCTTGTCAGACATATCAAAATACGCAATACCTGATGAATTCAGATAATCCACAACATAAAATTAACATTTTGGTAATAAGGACGAGACCAAGTTGTGCCACTCTTACATTGTAAGGTGACACACAGTGGTTCACTTCATTCTACACTGCTATGCTCATTTATGGTGTAAGACTTTTAAGCATAGGAGGCCTCATGTAGAGTCCTGGAAAATAATAGTTTCCTCCAAATCTAAAACCATTTTAGCACTCTACACCAGCTGTTCTTCCACAGACAAAATGACTCATGATAGACCAGTGTTTACACCTTAATGTGACCCACTGAAAATTCTAGGTAATTTCCTAAAACACTTTTTCACTCTACCAGAAGACGGGACTGACTGTATAACCCAAGACTCACATATATATATGTTCACAATATTTTGCAACTTAAATTACAAATTATACTAATATCAATCTCATTAGAACTTAGATCCATTTAAGGCTAAAGCAAGTACTGTAAGTACACCACAAGACTTCAGCCTCAGCAGTGTTCAATGCTCTTACTCCTCTTTCTTCCAGCTCCTCTTTGATCTGCTCCCAATTTTCAGGTGATGACGAGTACTCCACTAGTTCATCAAATGCTGCTTGAAAGTCAGATGCATCCTGCAAAAAGTGAAGTTCGACAAACTGGACAGTCTATATCATTCATTTGTTTACACAAACACTTACAAATGTACTGTCTTGTACTCTAATCAGGCATATGTACTTGTATTCTAATCAAGCATAGGATCACTAATAACCCATTGAGAAAAATCAAACAAGAACTTTATTGTACACTAGTAGTAGAAGAAATTTTTAAAACTGTGCCAGAAAATTTGTCATAACCACTGTCAATAGCACACTGATTAAGAGATATCTGCAGCAGAAAGAGTTGGTAAACACCAAAAGATGTACATACAATCCAGTGCCAACTGCAATCTGTATTTTACCTTGCCTGCACTTTCAACAACAGCTGAAACAGCTTGTCTTCCAGCATCAATAAACCATTGTCGCATTTCTGAAGATGAAAACACCATCTTGAAAACAAATAGACAAAGAAGATTTGAGTCAAACAATCCAAAACTAAAATAAGAGGTCATTCAAAAAACCGCAATGGGCATGTCACATAATTATATTTGTACTGTCCACAAAAGAAAAAAACATTACAAATAAACAAATAAACAAATAAACAAACAAATGAACAAACAGATGAAATCAAACCTCAGAAGCCTGTCGAACACAATGTACTTTGGCAAGAAATTCCATGTCACTTTCACATCCCACCTCATTTGTTCTAAAATAAACAAACACACAAACAATGTTATAAACATGTCTGAAGCCTTTTTTATTTTTTTAATAGAAATTAGAAAGACTGAAATGATATCTGTCAAAGGATAAATGCAAAGATTAATTGACTGTATATTTTTTAATGTATATTTTTTTAATGCTGTATATTTTTTAATGCTTTAATGTGACAGCGTGATGTTGTTAGTGAGTTTCACAGGCGCTGACTAATACTTGGCTGTGTAGCCGTGCGATGCGGTTCCAGTCGAGGCCCACAAATTGACCCTTGCTCACCATAGAGTCTCCAGTAGCTCAGTGGTTAGAGCATCTGACTAGATCATAGAGGGTTGGGGATTCAAGTCCCATCTGGGACTCAGATTTTTCTATTACATTATATTTTTTAACCATGGGATATACAGTGTACGTGCTTAGTTACCATATGGAGGGTAAGTAATGGTGGTGTCAAATAAGGTGTCGAAACTTAACGACAGCTTGCATCAATACAAATTCAGGGAAATTCTGCTTTCCAAAAAAAGAAATTATAAAGAAAATTAACTCAAAAGCAGGAAATTAAGGCAACTTAAAAAAACAAAACAAAAAGGATTTGGCATATGTCATGACCATATACAGGAACAAATTTACACCTAACTTAAAAGTTTACTTGACACTTAAGTATGTAGTGACAGAATAAGATGTGAAAAGTACAGCAAATACAAATTAACAGAGAACAAAATAAAAGGAGATTTTCCAATTTCATGATAATTATGTTAAACATTGGACCTGATTTTTCGACAGCAGATACCATGACGAATGTAATGTTGCAGAGCAGATACATAAAACTCAAGGTGACTAAAAGAACAAACAAACAAAAGAACAATCAAAATATTTACAGTTTAAATTGATCTCCTAATTGTTTAACTTGTGAAAAACACATGAAATTATGATCATTTTCTGATTACTTCATTTAAGAGCTGTTAACACAAGTAGTTTTCTGGCTTTTGAAAAAGGCAATTATTAGAGTTACCTATGATTGCCAGCTGTGCGAAGACAAGCTTCCCTGAACAGCTTCAGTCGCTGTGACTCATTGACAAGTCTCTCATCAGTGATATCATCAAACTACAAAACAAAGTTCGTTGTAATATATAGATAGTGTACAATGCCTGTTTGAACTCAGAAAAAAGCATTCTGTTATCATAAATTTAATGCTGTCTAATTGGTCAGTCTAGAGGCAGCATTGAGAAGCTAACAAAGTCACAGTGATGAGTCATTATGTCATCATGGTAACATGAAAAGTTACTTTCCTTTCTCAGTCCCTAGCCTTAACCCAGTCTGGAGCTCCACAGAAAATTATATTTAAGTGATGTCAGGAATTTAAAATCCGTGACTAATGCAAAAGGGGTGGAGAGATCTCTGTCAAAAGATGGAAAGATGTTAGAGAAATAACTGAAAAAAAGAGAAACAGAGTCAACTAGCAGAAATTTATATACCTCCTACTCTGAATTTCAAGGTACATAATCAAGGAAAAAGCTATTAAGCTTGCTACCTGAGTGTATATACATATTTCAGAGGCAATTTCTTTGTTATGCCACAGTTCCATTAGCCATAAATCTCATTTGCTACTTTTTCATTACTAGTTGTTAGTATCTTTTTATCATATTTTAATGAAATTTTAATAATATTTTTATACTTAATCAATCTGTATTTAAATTGTTTACTCCTAACACAAAAGCACCTCTAGCTGTGCATTATCAGATGCAGATACAAAAGAATCAGCATCAGAGGAGTTCTGATCTTCCAAGGCTTCATTGAATTCCAGTTGTAACTGTTCTTGTAAACTCCCATCATCAATCCAAGTCAGCATGTTGCTTGGTGTCTGTGGCAGAGGAGTCTCCATGAGATCATACTGCTCAATCACTTTCCGCAGCTTTCTGGAACCACCAATCAGGGCATTCAGTTTTTTGTCTGCTTCATTAAGGAAGAATGAGTTGTTTCCTCCCCGAGAAAGACCTGTACGCCGCCATTCCATCACATAATCTATAGCTTCATACCAATGTTCCAATGCCATGTCAAAGTTTTCAACACCTGCGTTGTATTGCAACATCCAATTGATAGGTCACAGGGGAAATAAAAATTATCACTTATTACATGTAAAACAGAAAGAACCTCCATAAAAAAAAATAAGACTAATATACATAAATTATGTTAAAAATCATTGCTGTTATTTCATTAGTATACATATTCTTCGTATTGATATATTAGATAGAGAAACAAATAAATGTAAAATAATCAGTCAAAAGAAACTATAAGAATGTCTGTACAACTATAATTGACATTTACGCTCATGTGTTCATATCTATGTTGTAGCTCAATTTTATCCTTGGTTCAAATTTTATTTTCCTTTGTTTCAAACTCATTATCATACATTAACAGGACCAAGAACAAAGGAAAATAAAATTTGAACCAAAGTATAAAATTGAACTACAACATCTACATCCATGGGCAAATATCATTTGAATGTGAAAAAATTAACCTACATAGGATCTGAGCTTCTTTCCATACAAGGACTTTCTAAAATCAGCAGTTGTAAAGTATTCAGGACTAAGAATGATAAACATACCTCTCTTAATAAGCTCTTCAATAATTTCTTCTTCATCTGTGATCACATCCCCTAGGTCAACAGCACTATCTTCAGAAACCCTTCCATCTGTTAGAAATTGATGTAATTTGTACTGTCCAGTATTTTTTATTTCAAATATGCTATCGACCCAAACTATACCTCAGTTAATGAACTCTGGCAGGAAGAAAATAATCATTTAATTGTTTACCATTAACTAAAACACCATCCACCACTACAACATTTGGTGATCCAAGAATTGCTGCATGTCGTCGGTACACAACTTCATTATCTAAGCCTGTCACACTTCTGGGAGTGTGTCTTGCAGACTCACCAGCTGTAGATACCCTTGAACTCCCTGTCAAAGGAAGGGAAGTTTGAAAAGATGAGTAAAATTTAAAAGAAAATGCTCTTAATTGTCCTTTTGTCAATTTTCTTTCACAAGCTTAGTTGTTTCAGAATTAAAATCATACATTACAGTATACTGATACAGTACGTGAAAAAAAAAAAAAAAATCAACCCACTAACACCATGAACACAGTTATACTGATCAAAAATTACATTTGAATGTCTTTGCACAGTGTATGACAAATAGAATAATAAATTTCAAGTGTAACTCATTGAGCTATTATTAGACTGGTATGTGTGCACTTATTCAATTTATTGTTTATCACCTTTTTTGAAACACAATTTCTAGAGAAAACCCCACGTATATGCAGTTACAGTTTAAACTACTTTTGACCTGAAATCATGCATAATATTAAAATAATAGTAAGTAATTTTTACATGAAGACAATTATATGCATACATATGTGAAAGAGTTATAGTCATTATACATTCCATAGACTTCCATGTTGGCACTAAACAGTTATCTCTATCATAGCCAAGCTCAAAGTTTTTTAAATTTATGAAACCACCAGTATTGTTTCTTCAGTGACCACATATTTTGCGGTGACAAGCTTCTCCCTGAGCAACGTTCGTTAATATTATTTTGCCTGAAATTTAACAGACAACCAACACCGACCTGCCATTTCAAGTACCTCGACGCGTGAAAAATATAAAAAAATGTCTTCCACCAAACAATGAAAAACTTTCAATATCACAGTTACAATGAGTATCAACATTGTTTAATAGCCATAGGAAGGTTTTAAGAAATTTTGCATCTTCAATTTATTTATTGGATGATAATCTGTCTAGCTATTTTATGATTAAAATTAATTCCCAATAAACAGAGGTAAGTAAGTTTTGAGTACTCTCAGAAATAGTAAGATAAAAATAATTGTACCGCTACCTGAAAAAAATTGTACAAATCTACTTCTCTCATAACAATGTAAGGTGTACAATACACAATCACTACAAGTATGGAAAGATACACTGGAAAACTAAATTATTGATGTGATTGGGTACGCTGGCTACTTTGATGAATTTGGCTTCCATCAGCCCAAGCCTTGTTTGTCGACATGAAGGATGACTATCATCTATATAAAACCACATTTCTGTTCTACTGTTACCTGCTGTGAGAGTTCTCTTTCTCCTCAAAGGCCGATCGTTGTATGATGAGCTCTTTCCAGTGGATGGTTCACGGCGCTTTCGTTTCAAATATCGCGCTGTCAGAAACAGCAGAGTTCCTGCGCCAAGCGACAGCGCCAACAAGGCAGTGATTTGCAGCAATCGCGACGAACGAAACATGTTTCAAATCACGAGTCCGCTTACATGATATCTCGCTCACATAATGAAAATGAAAAGGCTACTTCGACAGGAAACACTCCTCTCCTGATAACACTTGCATTTTGCAAGGCATGGAAAAGCGTGCAGGTCACAGCTGATGAAACATGAGCCCGTTGTTATTACTTGTTTGCGGTGACTTCATACATGAGAAAAAGACTGGAACGAGTAGTAAATGTAAAATGGCGGACAAGGTAGCGGAAGAATCCAAGGTAAATATCGGAGTTTTTTTTTTAAGGCTTTGCGGCTTTTTAAATTCCTTTTCTTCACTATTCAACCCATAATTTTGAAATCTTATTTTAATTTCTTTTACCTTACTTCAAATGATTGGTTCTACAAATTCTGGTGTCCATGCACGTTTTCGTAAATTTTTTTGCTAGTCCAGAAATTGAATTGACCTGATTTAAACACAAACTTACAGTGAACCTTCACAATTTCTCTTTTCATTTTCCTAAAAACAAGAGTTTAAGGCTTCGTCTGCAGTCATTTCTGAGTGGCAAGGATGAAACAGGGAAAATCTTGTCCAACGCTGAGAAAACACAGTGTGCGATTGCGTTACTACACTCTCTTCCTTGTGCAAGGCATGCTGTATTAGAACAACTCTGCGATGTGTTTCATGAAGCTGTCCAAAAATATATGGTAGAGTTAGAAAGACAAGCATTATCTGGTATGTAACTTTTGATGTGGGTATGCAGATTTATTTAGAGTTCTACTTTACGTAGAATAATACAGCTGATTTTGCTAAGATTGTTGTCGAATTGAAAGTTGTGAGTAACATTGGTTTTAATTGTGGTTGTTTGTTTGGTTGGTTAATCTTACCAATTCGTGGGTAGTGTGTCGGTTGATGTGTTGATAGCGTGTCGGTGGGATCGGATCCTTTACTTTTAGCTATATTTTTTCGCTACATTGTTCATTCTTGGATAATCTGCTAAAGGAACTCTCCAACTATTGAGAATGATTCCAATCATCCTTTTTATAATAAAGTGCTTTCAAAGAAATTTTCACTGGTACAAACTGCACAAGCCCATCATTTTACTGTCTGAATTATTGAACCATCCTAATGTCTTATAGGGAGGCTTCAGTGTATTAAAGAAATTTTATATTATTGTTGGTTACAAAATGCATCATATACTGTATGTCACTGATGTATGAGCTACAGTAGAGCTAAATGTAATATCTGGTATCTTTAGACTGTAATAACAGTTTTATCATCAGGGGTGGGTAGGTAGAGAAGTCTCAAAGTGCAAGTATTTTTGAAGTCTCAAAATGCACATTAATTTTGATCAAACAAATGCATAAAGAGAACTATTTTGAGGTTAGTTTGTTAATGCATTCAAGGGACTTCAGTTGCCTCTCATCCAGATGCCCTGGATCCTGAGTTGATATCTGCTTTACAGAATGTCAGTGAAGTTGTTTGCAGATTTGTTGATAATAACCCTACTGCCTGGGCACCACTCATTTGTCAGGTAAGTGTTCAGATCATTTGATTTAAAGACTATAAATACAGTGGCTTACCTTTATATCACATCTTTGTTATCATCTTTCCTAAGCTGAGCAAATGACACCATTCTACTATTAGTAGTAGATCAGAGTGTTTAGTCTTAGTATCTGTGTTTTTGTTTGTTTTTTTTTTTAATTTTTTTTTTCTATTTTTTTTTGTTTTTATCTTTTATTTTATTTTCTTTTTTTAATGATCATTTCATTGAAACAAAAGTAAACTGTTCAAGAACCTTACTTATCAGTATCATATTGTAAACTGTCCCTTTTTTATAATAAATTATAAAATGATATGATTGTTTATAACAAGTAACGGTAATTATGCAATACTGCAGATTTTAATTTTGTAATAAACCAAAACCTCTTCAGGATCACTTTCCCATTAATTACAAATGAAATTAAAATTATCTAGCATTAAATGCACTGATGAAATCTCATAGTATTGTTTTTTTTAAATGTATTTCTATGCAGTGGTCTTTGAATCTCCTTGGGCAAGTTGTCACAAAGAATAATGGAAGGAGAGGTTAGTTCTGCACTCAACTGACAATCAAGTGGAATAAATACCCTGAAAATGTGATTGCTCTTTGCATATCAAATTGTATGGTAATAGATTTTAGTAAAGGTCTATACTTGTGATAGAAAACAAATTTAATTTTTCTTTTTTTGAGTAATTATATTTTGATTGCAGCTGCTGGCATTACTATGTCGCTAAGTGAGGGTCTTCATAAGTGGATGTTATATCCTGCTGTTCAAAGATTGATGGATATTACAGTCCACTGCAGTGCCAAATTGTAAGCTATGTTTATATGCAGTGTAACTTCTTTCTTGTGTAAGAATGGCTTGGGGGAAATTTTTCCTTAAACTGTGACTCTCAGAAATTAACTGAATTCAAAGTTATTCAAAAATGTAAATTCAAGGTAAACATGATCACAGTTGATAATTGCTTCAATTTAATAACTGGTTCATCTGAATTTGAATTGCAATAAGCAACTATGCAATAATCTTTGAGTTCCTTGTAGTTACTAGATATTTAGCATATTGTATCAGTGGCAGCTAATGTGGTTGTTGTTGTTACCAGAGTTGGCAGTGGTGAAGCTGATGTGTGTGTGCAGTGTTTGCTTCAAATAGCAATGAACAGCTCTCCTCATTTGGACTGGGTTGTAGCTCATATTGGGTAGGTCTACAAAATTTTGCTTTGCTTATGGAGAGAATTCTAGTAGTATGTATAGATCATGGCACCATGAAAAGAAAAATTTTACTAGTTCTTTGTTACGTTGTCCACATGTGTAAGCTGTAGAGTTTTTCTTAGATTAATATGTTTATCAAAGTCACTGTGACTCTTCTATTGAGTTTTATAATAAAGTTCAGATATAACGTGTGCTGTCATTGGTTGAAAGGGCATGCTCTATCAGAGTATAGAACATGGAGTTGAAGCTGTCAGGCCATCTGCCAATTTGTAACATGGCGGACCAAATGCGGAATTTTTCTCTTGGGTTTTTTTTCGACCCAGAAGTTCTCTACGACCTAGAAGACGAAAGAGAAAACGAGCTGTTAGCATCGATCGATTTAGAGGATACTGTCTGACAATGCGACCTACCCTTTAACTGAAAGTGAGGTTTCCAACAAAGTTAATTACGAAAACAATGAGCGCGGCGGCAATTTAAACAGGCAAAGATTTGAAAACATGTCAAGTGCCGCAATAGACGAGATAATTGTAAGAGCAGAAACAAAGAAAACCAAACAATCCACGAAATGGGCTATCCGCGTTTTTGAAGGTGAGTTTTTTTGTTGCAAAAATATAATAAATACCATATGAAAACCTCGAATAGAGTGGACGCACATTTGCTAAACTTTCTTGCCAAAAAAAAAAACAATCAAGAAAAGTGGACGATTTTAAAACTGGCTAGGACACACACGTTTCTAACCAACAACCATAACTTTCTCTAGAAAATGAACACCAAAATACAAATAAAAATCTTTTTTTTTTTCGTTGCCGTTTTTTTAATAGCTTGGTGTAGTGAAAGAAAAGTTGCCAAGAACCTCCACGAAATGAGCAACAAAGAGCTTGACCTATCCAGAAGTTAAATCCTGCCTGCGAAGCACTTTTTCAGTACCCAAAGCAAGCCGTGAAATCTTAAGATAAAGTTTGGTACGACAACTAGCCTCTGGGGGTCAACACAGCGCAGCAGTTTGTCAAGTTCCAACCACAAGCTTTAAGCAGTTGTTTTCAGATTGTCACATTGATAATGTCCAGGTTTTCATGGGCCAAAATTCGGCTGGATTTCATTAATCATGTTACTACAGATACTGGTTTTTGTATGCAAAATATGTACTTTGATGCATTCGAATTATTAAGCAAGATTTGCGATTCTTCGTGATAGCTTTTGATGGTTTGACATTTTGACAGCTTTGGTCTTGTTCATCCAATCAAGTTAGGTCTTCCATTCTAACAAGGATTCTGATTGGCTTTTTGTAAGCATGCTCTGTCAGAGTATAGAGCATGCTGACGACACTGTTGTTTGCTTTGAAAATAAAGTTTGTTTGGAAATTGCAAGTAATGTGTGGGTAATTTAACGGATTCTTTATTATAAAACAAATAGAGAAGCCTTGACTGTGCTCTGTTTTGTAGTAAAGCACTTAGGAAGTGGCTAGAGCACTCAAGAAGTGGGGAGAAACACGAGACGTAGTTGAGTGTTTCTCCCTACACTTCTTGAGTGCTCTAGCCGCTTCC